ACATCACAAGTCAACTCATCAATCAACACACACTTCGGGTCAACGACATCATATAATGACTTGACATCCTCCTCAACAACATCCACCACATCATGAGCTTCTGCTCCCTCCTCTTCGAAATCATCCTCCCGAGTACTATCACCTCGGTTATACACAATCGAATCCTCCAATAAATCATCTCCCATGCCATTCGCCATATCAACTTCGGAATCCATACACTCATCCTCAACAATAGAATTTAAGCCCAAAGCACTATCACCGAAAGAGAGAGTTGACGTACCTAATGTAGATTGCGAGCCCGGATCGGCAAGGGAGGAAATTTCTTTAACAATCAACTCATCGATGTCCTCACTCGTGTGGAGAGGTTGAGTCCCGTCATACACGAGAGTGAGGCCCATCTCTTTCAAAGAGGCAAACCTATCCACCATAGCTCGAAATTCTTCCTCTAACCGTGTACTCTCTCGAATAACTCTCGCCGATAGAGAACAATATCTACCGACTGGAATGTGAGATTCGTCCATGTCGAGAAAGGCTACCACGGTCGAGTCGAACTTCGTAAGTGTTGCTTGAAGAATGGATGGAATGGGAATGCACTTCCAACTGTGAAACTCCTCAATGATCTACATGAGGCTTGCAAGTGCCTCTTGAGTGCTCGTCAAAATCTCTTGGTGACGTTCGGTAGGCTCAACCGTTGGTGAAAATGAAGCTTCGAAACTTGATGTACACGGTTGGTCAACCGATTGGTGTTCAAATAATGGAGAGGATGGAGTAAAGGACTCTTCTTTTTCGGATATGGGAGCCATTGAAGCGCGGAGAGATTGATTGCACTTCTCCAAATTTTTCATCATCTCGTCTAAACGGCTTGGAGAAGCTTCTCGAGTCGGCTCGATTGGAGGTGTTGCTTCATAAAAATTGGGGGGCGGGGGATAGAATTGAGGCGTCTCGTCGTGACTAGGAATGTAATAACCATAATCGCCTTGAGATGTCGGGTAAGAATAACTCGGGCCATACCCTTGGGATGTACTATATCCGTCATAATAATAAGGATTTGAATAGCTCGGATACGAATGGGGCGGCCCTCCATATGATTGCATCTCCTCATGATAGTTGTCGGGGTATCCGCGAGACGAGCTACCGGCATAAGAATAACCGTATGGATCCATCGAAGCTCCTCAAGCGAAATACCTCGCACAAGAACAACAAAACAACCCAAAGGCACACGAGGCAAAGAAAAGAAAACAAAAACACAACTAACACAACAAGATATATACAAGAACTCTCATACCAAAAATCAAGAGAAATAGAAAATAAGCAATTAATCAAGAGAAACACGCAAAATTAAGCAAAATCTACAAAAAGCAAGAGAAACACGGAAACAAACGACAACTAGATAGTAAACTTGGCGTCCTACTCGCCTTCCCCGGCAACGGCGCCATTTTGTTTGTAGTATTTTTGGGCATGTGGTAACCGAGTTACCCGACTCGGGTCGTTCTCAAAGGAAGGCTGTTCGGAGCTTCGTTTACTATCTAGTTGTCAAATTCACAAAACCGAAAATAAAATCCTAAACATTCTAACGAGATAATTGGGAGTGATTAAACTAAAATAAACTAACATCTAAGAGAAAATAATTAAAATGCAATAAACGAAAGAAAAATCGAAACTTGGTTATACGGAGTCCACATAACTTGACTAAAATAAAAATGGCAAAAAAGAAAATACACGAGCCTAGCGATCCTAAGTGTTCAAACACGAACCTTCCCTAGATCGTCCTACTTTTACCAAAGTCGAGACCTCTACATTGGATAAATTCGTATCGAACCTTAACACACTTAGACGAACAAAAAAAACACAAAACAAAATCTAAACACGATCCAACACATCGATTCAATCAATTCAAACTCGAAATAATAAGCCCTAAACTAGGTACCTATTTTCCTATCGCAAGATTGAACGAACATAATGTATAGAACGAATTTTAGATAAACACAACATAAACGAAACGTTACCGGAAAAATCGCCGGAAAATGTCAAGTTCGTGCCTCCAACCGAGCTTTCAACTTACAAACAAAAATACATAAATTGAGAGAGAAAAAAAAAGAAAAATAAAAAGAAGAAAAATGAAGAAGAAGGAAGAAGAAGAACCAAAGAAGAAGGAAGAAGAAGAAGATGGAATGAAAGATGATGCACTACAACCGGCATAAAACAAAACCAAAAGGAGGAATGATCCCTAATTTCTGCTCCTTTTGACGTGGAATCGCACTCCTTTTCAGGTGGCCACGGCGTGAAAGAAGCTCCCGGCGTGAAGAACATTGGCTCGCGGCGTGAACGACCATGGCTCGCGGCGTGAAGGGGCAGCGTGGAGCTTGACTCGCGGCGTGAAGGGTCTTGGTTCGCGGCGTGAAGGATCTTCGCGGCGTGGAGGGGTCTTGGCTCGCGGCGTGGAGGATCTTCGCGGCGTGGAGGAGCTTGGCCGATTTCTGAAAATGTCTCGCGGGGTGTCTCACGGCGTTAAGATGGCGTGGAGGGTAGTCTTTCACGCGCTGGAAGGCCTTTCGCGCCGCGGAGAGTTGCCACGCCGCGGAGGCTGGGCAGCTTGCTCAGCTTCACATTTCGGGCTCGTTTGGGCTCGTCCGAACTCGGAATTGAGTTCTGTTTTTTCCTATGCGTAGCCAACGAAGCCCTCTATGCATTTGGAATCTCAAATCCAACTTCTTCTTCAAAACTTATTCACCCAGAGCTTTTTACTTCAAGTTCACGGCTTCCGTGCACGAATTCGCATATTTGGCCCGTCCGGACTCGTCCGAACTCGAAATCGAGCTCCGCTTTTTCCTATGTGTAGCCAACGCGCCTGTCTACACAACCATGCTTTCCTCGTCTAAATCTAATCCTCACGGGACCTCTGACCTGCACACCAAAACAAGAAGAAAACGGGAAAAACACACGTAAAACATAAAGAGAACCAAAATGGAACAAAACACACAATAAACTATAAAACGAACGAAAAACCAACTAAAATACCTATAGACGAGATAAAAAGACTAACCAAATGATACCAAAAATCACAACAAAAACAAGACAAACAAGTGCGCCTATTTTCCCTTGCGAACAGGGCTCCTATTGTTCAGCCTCTTAACTCTCCACACACACATTTTAGGTTCTCAATTTTTTGGGCCTCTCAGTTACCATTCTCATCGTCATTCCAATCATTCATCTCGTGGAGTGAAAAACAAAAGTTCTGCTGCCAACCCAAGAAAATTGCGGACATGTTCAGGTTTAGTCCGTCACTAAATTTTAAACATGGGACACGGTGGTCTCTGATGCAACTACAAAACCTCTAACCATGATCATTATGCTTTTAGTAGTGTTTTCCAATGAATTTTAGAATATGAACACGGGAAATATGTTAAATTTGCATGTCAATTCCAGCAATACTTCACCTATTGAAAGATCGCTCTTCTAATATATGAAACCTGTCTGTGAAAAATGTTTGTCGACTCTCTAAAATTACTCAAACCAATTACTCCCGAATCTTCGTGTAGCGCCACTCTCTCACTTGGCTAGATGGCTTCTATTTGTGAACATAAAGTCGTAGTCTTCGGTCGTGACAACCTGTATATACCTCTTCCTCGACGAGTTGTCCCTCATGATTCTCAAGGGGATTAGGATATCCTATTCTTTCGGAGCTAACACCATTCATACTCAGTTACATGCCGATATTTGGCCTTTGTTTCGGCTTTCAAATCCATAGCATATATTGTCAGTTAAAGATCAAAAGCACAAAAAATATCTTCACTTCATTGTCCTTCAATGCAAGGTGAGACCATAAGACATAATCATCTCAACTGTGAATCTCTTATTTTCCCTCAAACAACCCAATATACACTGAAATTTTCACGATTATTTTCCACAATGAAGACAACAAAAACTTCAACGACAATTAAATATACTTATAAATTACAATCCAAATTAAAACTCATCACCAAAAGAGAAATTATGCAAAGTGGCATGTAAGACTGTAGGAAAAAAGTTGCCATGAGATTCACTGGACATAATCCCACCAATTTCGGCAAAAAAAGCACCCATATAGCAGAAATTACACAAAAAAGAAAGAGAAAGAAAGAAAATATTCTACTCCTTTCTAAATCTTTGGCATTCATAAAATGAATTTAAATCAATCAAAGAATGCAGATGTTTCAATTAAAATCATGTTTTTTTTTTATATCAAATGTTCACATCATTAACCAAAGGAAAAAATAGATTTAAAGTAAAATGAAGAGAAGAGAACTCAACAAGAAAGAGGCCCTGAGGTCTAAGGTCGGAGGTGAGCTTGCTTTTCTGTTGCCTCTATAAAGTGAGTTTTTTTCGGTCCTTGATCCGCATGAGCCTCACACTGTCATCCACATCAGCTTCTCGAGTTGTGAGGGCCGATTTCATCATCGTTGATGTCCGTTTTATCTACGTACTGATCGACTCTCAAATCATCCCCGTCAATATCAAGCTGTCGGGCACAAGTTCGACACCATTAAATCTCAAGATACATAGTAATAATAATGCAACAACATAGAATCAGCCCATGAACTAAATTCTTACATCTCAAAACATTGAATCATGGAAAATAGATACATACCATGTTTCATCCAAAATTCTTAAACATCATTATCAACTAATCACACGTCATGATATTTACATTTGGAAAAAAGGGAAACAACAACAAACAAATATGGATCTTCTCAAAAGGGACAAAAACAGCAGAAAAGAGAAACCCTTGTCCAAAAATTGAAGGGATTGATATAAAAACTCAAATCAAATGCCTTGAAATTAAGGGCAAAATTAAACAGAGCAATCTGACCTAGCATCAACTCATACATCTGTCATGATTGTCATATCAAAGCCTATTTGAAGAAGAAGAAAACCAGATCAATAGACCGGGAAAAACTGGATGCACGTAAGGTCTTCAAGAGCAGAAAAGGTCAAATAATTTTCATCTCCTTCTTTGACACTCAGGAGTCGATCTTCTCGGACTCCGCATCACTGCGGGTCTTTGATTTCTTCTCCGACGCCTTCTGAGAGTCCTCCTCCAGCAGAGAGATCCCCGTCCACCTATCTATTCTGTCTTAGAGGAGCTAATTCTTCACAAATCTGTTTGCAGGCAGGACAAGGAATGCAAAATTGGAGATGGATGACGTGGTGAGTAAATGAAAAAAAATAAAAC